TTACAATTAACTTTGAGCAGTATTTGATGAGATGTAAACATAAATTACAGTGAGAGATTTATTAAGTGATAGGAAATAGCTAAAAATGAGAATATTTATGCTGGCCAGGATATAGAAATAAAGTGGAACATTATGCTAGGTAAAGTGGTATGTGGAATGCAGGACCAAAATTTGTCCCTCAGTTCAACACCTGAGTAATCCTCAACCTTCTTTATCTTTAAAAAAGAGTTTTGATTATAATCTCAATTATGCTTATACTACTGTAACCTATGGTACTATGAATCTCTTAAAGTCTGTAAATCTAATAATTTTCAATCACTGAAGGAAATTAATAAAGAGGATGGATGGAATATGTTGCTGAAGTACAAGTCACTTAGTCGTATCTGACTCTTTGCAACCCCATGAACCATACAGTCCATGGAGTTCTCAAGGGCCAGAATACTGGAGTGGGTAGCTGTCCCCTTCTCTAGGGGATCTTCCCAACCCCGGATCGAACGCAGGTCTCCTGCATTGAAGGTAGATTCTTTACCAGCTGAGCCACAAGCTGAGGAAGTGTACAAAATGGGGAAAGACAGCCAAAAAAGAATTATAAGGATGTAGGAAAAGGAACTCAGAGAGAAAATACTCTTAAGAATTTACTGGGAAAAAAAATAAGATAAAAAGATATGAATCACTACATAGTGCTTAGGCATCTTGGCCTCTTTTAGTTATTTTGTTTCAACACCATACTGTGTTGGACCCATAGTAGAATATTTCATGATTTATATGCACACATGAGGTAACTGATGAAAAGATTAAGCAGTTGTCATTAATTGGTGCAATTTCTCATGCTCCTTTTATGCATAAGTCTTAAAAAAGCACAATGTTGTTGTTCAGTAGCTAAGTTGTGTTCGACTCTTTGCCACCCCATGGACTGCAGCATGCCAGGCTTCCCTGTCCTTCACTACTTCCCAGAGTTTGCTCAAATTCATATCCATTGAGTCTGTGATGCTATCTAACCATCTCATCCTCTGCTGCCCTCTTTTCCTTTTGCCTTCAATCTTTCTCAGCATCAGGATCTTTTCCAGTGAGTCAGCTCTTCAGATCAGGTGGCAAAGTATTGGAGCTTCAGATACAGCATCAGTTTTTCCAATGAATATTCAGGATTGATTTCCTTTAGGATTGATGGGTTTGACCTCCTTGCAGTCCAAGGGTCTTCTCCAGCACAATTTGGAAGCATCAATGCTTCTTCAATGCTCAGCCTTCTTTATGATACAACTCTCACATCCATACATGACTACTGGAAAAATCATAGCTTTGACTATATGAACTTTTGTTGGCAAAGTGATGTCTCTCTTTTTAATATGCTGTCTAGGCTTGTCATAGCTTTCCTTCCTAGGAGCAAGTGTCCTTTAAGTTCATGGTTGAAGTCACATCTGCAGTGATTTTGGAGCCCAAGAAAATAAAATCTCTCACTACTTCGACTTTTTCCCCATTTACTTGCTACAAAGTAATAGGACCAGATGCAATGGTCTTAGTTTTTTTAATGTTGAGTTTTAAGCCAACTTTTTCACACTTATCAAGAAGTTTTTAGTTCCTCTTCACTTTCTGCATTACAGTAGTATCATCTGCATGTCTGAGACAGGCAAGGTGGTCTGGTATTCCCATCTCTTTGAGAATTTTCCAGTTTGTTGTGATCCACACAGTCAAAATCATGATATTCTCTAGCAATTAATAGATGGATGCTTCCACAAAAATGTACATTCTAATCAATTGAATTTGCCCCTTTGGAAGCCAAAACATTTTTTGAAGTAACCATTTCTGATGAAATTCTTTGTAAAACAGACTGAACACGTCTTTGTTTCTAAAAATGGATGGTATTAATATTAAACATAAAAGTTTATTGTTGATTCAATGTTATCATTATAAATAGAGTTGGGAATCTGTATTATATAACATAATTTTGCTCTGGGTTAAATAGGAAATAATGGAAGTGTAAGAATTGTGAATAAAAATGAGATAAATTTTGAATCTTGCAATATTTATTTTATTTGCGTGGCGAGAATTTCTTTTTCATATATCTTAGCTATAAATTATATTTCAGATGGTGAGGTTACTGGGTATAACCTTTCCTGATAAGTTAAGGGTAGCAGAACTTATTCAATAATATAAAGAATTAAAACATTTTTTTCTTAGCTTCAGATTTTTTTTCTTTTTTATTATTCTTTTTGTTTTTTTTTTTCCATTTATTTTTATTAGGTGGACGTTAATTACTTTACCATATTTTAGTGGTTCTTGTCACACATTGACATGAATCAGCCATAGACTTACATGTATTCCCGATCCTGAGCCCCGCTCCCACCTCCCTCTCCACCCGATTCCTCTGGGTCTTCCCATTGCACCAGGCCCAAGCACTTGTCTCATGCATCCAACCTGGGCTGGTGGTCTGTTTCACACTAGATAATATACATATTTCAATGCTGTTCTCTCGAAACATGCCACCCTCACCTTCTCCCACAGAGTCCCAAAGTCTGTTCTGTACATCTGTGTCTCTTTCTCGGTTTTGCATATAGGGTTATAGTTACCATCTTTCTAAATTCCATATATATGCGTTAGTATACTGTATTGGTCTTTATCTTTCTGGCTTACTTCACTCTGTATAATGGGCTCCAGTTTCATCCATCTCATTAGAACTGATTCAAATGAATTCTTTTTAATGGCTGAGTAATATTCCATGGTGTATATGTACCA